AACATTATGAATCACCAAACCACCATATTTGTATCGTTTTAATATTTTTCATGATTGATAGGTCATTAGTAACATGGTTAGAGGCTCCTGTATCCACAATCCATAAGCCACTTGTATTACCTTCTAAACGAGCCTTGGGTTTCGATAGTATGTCGATTATTTGTTGTGCTTGCTCTGACGACACACCCGCAAGTCCTTGTATAGAGATTGCCAAAGAAGATGAATTGCCTGCATTCTGAGACTATCCACCTTGCACCGCATTAGCACGAGCTGCAGCAAGGGCGTTTGATGAACCATTGCCACGCTCCCCCCCCACTGCCTCGACCACCATGACCTCTTCGGTTGGTTGAGCCTCCTCTTCCACGACCTCTACCTCCTTTCCGATTCTCATCCCATTCGGACGAAAAGCCAATAATTTGATAGCAGCCCTTCTTCTCATGTCCCATACAATTACAGTGATTACAAAACGGCCGATCTCCATCATTCGTGTCACTCCTTGTACGGGAATCCACATTGAACGCCATAACATTCTCCTTCGGGTTTCTATCTCGAACACGTAATCTCTCCGTATTAATTACCGTTTGGTAAGCACTATCAACCAAAGGCAAAGGTGATTGTGCTAATAATTGTGCTCGAATTGCTTCATACGGATCATCAAGACCCATCAAAAAATAATGGAGATAATCCTCTTCTCGAATTTCTGTAACTTGTCGAGCAATGTTACACTTGCAACCACCACACGAACACTTCGGGACACGACAGTATTGCACCAATTCCTTCCAAATTTTGGATAACCTACCAAAATAGTCCGTCACTGACTCAGAAGGGGTCTGCTTACACTCCCCTAAAGATTGTTTAAGTTGGCGAATTCGTGTACCACTCACTACACAGTACCTTTGTTTAAGATGAATCCACATGTCACTTGCAATATCAAAATCCTCAATTTGAGAACGCAAGCCATCGTCAAGGGTATTAGTAATCCACGACACAAGCATGGAATTCACAGCCACCCAATGCTTCTTCTTTAAATCATCTTCCGGCTCTAATATAGAACCATCAACAAAACCAAACTTGAATTTTGCAATCATCGATCGACGTATCTCTTTAGCCCACTCATCATAGTTTGGCCCTTTCAATTTTACCGGAGTAATAACCACACCCGGATGATCGCTTGACCCTAGAGAATATTCTAGGTCCACCGGCAGTGGTGGTGGCGGAACATCATCATCCTTGGCCATTACTCACGACCCTCTTTGTTTTTCACAAAAAAAATTTCTTAATCTAAGCTCTTGATACCATGACAAGTTCAATAGAAACTATTGTCTTTCTCATTCACAACTCAAGAATATATATAGTTACATAAGATATTCCTAACCCTAACATAATTAGGAATAAGAAAAATATTAACATAACTAGGAAATCTAAAGATATTATACAATATTTCCTAATATTATCTTAACAGGAATGTATCGCACCAACTCATCTCAAAGGAGACAATTATGAAGAATGGGCGGCTGATATTCAAACCGCACTCGAAGCAAGACGTAAATTTGATTTCTTACATTGAACTATCACGGAGCTGCTACCTCCCTGTACAAAGTCCAATTGAACAGCCACTAACGCCTTGTTAATTTCATGGATCACTATTACTATTGATGCCAAGGTCAAGTCCTCTTTTTCTAGATTTCGAGATGTTAAACCATTTAAGGATCACCTCAAGAAGAGATTTGCGCATACCAATAGACCGAGAGTAGAACATCTTTGTTCTTCCCTAGCCAAGTGCGAGCAAACTAAGACCATGTATGTGTCCGTTTATTATGGAAATTACTTGCCCTATGGCAAGAGCTAGACCATCATGAACCCTTAATCTATTATAGTTGTTATACTAGTTGCACGGTGGGTCGTTTACATGAGGTTAGATGAGAGCAATCTAAACTTAATGATTTTTTGATGGGCTTATACGCTGGTTATTATTCTTCCTTGCGGACTAACATCTTGTTGCAAGATCCTTTGCCCAGCCTAGATGGGACTTATCAGCTTATGACTCAAGAAGAAAGGGTGTGTACGGCCAAGAAAGAAATCGAGGAAAAGCAGCTGACCAAGGCCCTTAATTGGTTTTGCTGTTTGTGATTCCTCTAATGGAGGGCGTGGCGTCAAAACTTGTTCTCATTGTAAGAAACAGGGTCATGAAGTCTCTAGTTACATACTCCATGTCCTCATTGTCAGAAGAAAAGTCACAACCCAAGCAAATGTTATGAAATCACTGGGTATCCCGAGGGTCGGACACCTCGCAATTGAGGGGGGGTGGCTCATGCTAATGCAACCATGGTAGACTCATATTTTCTCCATTGGGGCAATTCATTTCCACCGAGCAACGGAAGGCACTAGTCGGTTTTATGCGTGAGACAAAAATTCTCGAAAATCTCCTAAATGGTAATTTTGATGATACTAGTTAGATTATCAATGCCGGATCAACCCATCATGTAACCAGTAACAATTCTTGGCTATTTGAAACTCACAATGTTGATTGTTTAGTTGGGTTACCTAATGGTGACAGTGTTGTAGCTACTCTAGCTAGTTCTATTTTCTTAATTGATAAAATTACTGTATATATATCTGGGGTATTATATTTTTTGTTCCGTATTTGAATTGGAATTTAGTTTTCGCCTCTTAACTTAGAGACTAGTTCCAAGTTGTTCAATTAACTCATATGTGCGTGCTATACAGGACCAAATGAAAGAGCTGATTGGAACGGGACTTAGGCCAAACAGACTCTATTATCTTAGCAAATCGAATGTAGTGCAACGTGTGTCTATGGTTGAAGCAACATTTGATTTGGATCTTTGGCACAGAAGAACAACCATCCTTCGGAGATAGTGGTTAAGTTGCTTCCTCATATTAGCAATAAAAAAAACAGTTTAGCAAAAGGATATGAAGTGTGTTGTCGTGCTCAACATCCTAGAGACAACTATCCTTTAAGTCACAATAAAGCATCTAGAATCTTTGAAAAAATGTATTGTGATTTATGTGGCACATATATATAGACATGATTCTTCATGTTGAGCTTGTTATTTTTTTTACCATTGTTGATGATTATTTAAGAGTCGTTTGAATTAATTTGCTGATTGATAAGACATAAGTTTTTCAGATGTTTATGGCATTTGTTGCTATGGTTGATAGGCAATTTAATCAAACAATTAGAATTATGCAAAGTTGTAATGGTACCAAATTTAATTGTTTGAATGATTATTTTTTTTCCAACTAGTATTCTTTTCCAAACCCCGTGTGTAGGGAACAAATTAAAACGGGTAACTTGTTATCAAGTTGAAAAGAGGCTGGGCGGGACCAATAAAAGTGAATACCCCCTAAGTTAAAGTTGGGATTATTTAAATTAAATTTGCCAAAGTCGGAATTATTAGAATCATTCATTCCTAAATAAATGTTGAACAAACTACCTAAAATATGGTAAAATATTGTAAGATACTACCTTTGGCCAAATTTCCACCATTAACCTAATTTTATGGCGTTGATCCACCTAAAACATCCCGAAAACCACTTTAGAGGGTTGGTTATCACGGTGGTAAGGTTATTTTTGGGGTGGTTAGAGGATATTTTGAATCGGTGAAGGTAATTTTGTAATTTAGGATGTTGGTTTTTGGGGCTATAAGTGGTAGTCTTGGGGTTGGAAAGTGGATTTGGCGTGATAGAGGCAATTTCAAACAGACTGCGTTAGTTTTCGGGTGAAAGCGATAGTTTTGAGGGTTATATTGATGGTCTATGGTGGATTTCCATCTTTAGCTTTTATTAGACAATTTCTTATAAAAAAATTTAACATGTAGTTTCTCATTAATAAATTAAATTTGGGCTTTATTAGTTAGTTTTTGGCTAAAGAAATCCTATTTTAAATTTATTTATAGACATATGCAATACATTCTCCTTGGGGTCGTTTAGTTGGAATTACAGTCCATTACATCCATATTATTGTTTAATTAGTGATAAACGGGCCTAAGCCACACTCGTCACAGCCTTGCACTTTATACGACAAAGAAGGTTCCACCTCAAAATTATATGACAATGAGGGCAGTAGCCCCTTAGCCTAATAAAGTGGACATAACTTTCTTATTTCTTCAATATGGAATACATAACCTAATACAAACTCCCACTTATAAACTCAACCAATGTGGGACAACACACCACTCACATGTGAGTTTTTTCATGGGCTCAACACTCCCCCTCACATGTGAGTTGTCCATAATATTGGCCCGGATCAACACAACCCAACCTGGCTTTGATACCATGATAAACGGGCCGACCAAGGAGGTTCCACTTCCAAACCATATGGCAATGAGGGGACTAGCCCCTTAGCCTTATAAAATGGACACAAATTTCTCATGATAAACGGGTTTGGGCCACACACGTCACAACTGTCCACTTTATACGACCAAGGATGTTCCACCTCAAAAACCATATGACAATGAGGGGAGTAGTCCCTTAGCCTTATAAAGTGGACACAATTTTCTTAATTTTTCAATGTGGGATACACATCTCAATACAAACTCTCACTTATAAACTCAACGAATGTGGGACAACACACCACTCACATGTGGGTTTTCTCATTGGCTCAATAGTTAGGAAAATTAATTTATGAAATCTCACACCATGGGGTTCTATTTCCACCCCATCCCCTTAAAATCTCATACCCCATCTTACCCCCAAAAATTCATAATCCATTCTTTTAATGAGTTGTAAAACATGTGCTTTCCAATATTTAGTATTTCATATTTGTTATCTCATACCAAGGGGTTCTATTTATGCACCCACCAATCGCTCTCTTCCATGTGCTTTCCAATATTTAGTATTTGTAATGCATTTGCAAATGCATAACAAAACTACATTACTACTTGCTCGCTATTTTATTACTACACATATACAATGAGGCGTTACTTCCTCTATTATGTACATTGCTAATTCTACAGATTATATAACAAGATTATAATTACCTTCAGCTGCTGAGATAGTTTATCAACCAAGAGTTGAGCAAATTTAGGTGGATTGTATAGTTTGCTCGAGGGAAAAAGTGTTTGAAAGTAGTTTTGAAGATAATCGCTGTTGCCCGCACAAATAAAAAATATAGACTTGGACAGGTGTTGTAAAAGTTCTCCGGGACTTTTGAAGACAGGAGCCAATTCATAATCAATAGATCTTTTGAACATTCCAATCTGTTCATCCATGGGAAAGCATTTTCCCTACAATAAACTTTCTTTCAGTAGTAGTATATCACGCATTTACACCTAATATATATATTAAGTATGAAATATTATGCTCTATCCCAAATACAAATTTTTATTTACTTACATGAAAAATGCAATTGTACACTTAAAGTTTGTTCGGTTGATATAGATATGTAAAACATAAAGGTGTATAGGAGTTAGAATTTCTTAAACATTAATTAGCTAATGTAGAGGCAGTATAGCAGCGGTTTAAAATAATTTTACCCATATCACGTGGGCCAACCTGAAGGCGACACGTGTCAATCTAGTATTAGCCCCTTAAAGGATCAATCCCTACTTGACATGTGGTGCTCCAAAAGAGTGGGAAAAAAAGCGGTCATCAAGGCCCAAATCCCGAGAAAAGCTGCAATGCGGCGCAATCTATCAGAATTAGGTTAGAGTAACTTAAGAACGGGCATGCATTTCAATGACCGAATAAATAGGGAGATTCCACCCATTTAGGGGACATCTACAATTCATTTATTACAGCCTACCCTACATTCTCTCACATCAGAAAAAAAACTTATCTCGGAATCCGAGAAGATCTTACTTTAACCTTTTGACACTTTTTACTTTCTCCGACGCGTTCTAACTTGATCGTCGGAGGCAGAGCTCCAACCAACTCGAGTCTCCGTGTTTTGCAGGTACAGACCTCCATATGTGGGGAGAGTACCTTAAAGAAGGTAAAGAGTATGTACCTCTGCCAGACCCTAACATTCCTACGGTTGACGGGGAGGTCTTTACAGATCATGAAGATGACCACGACGTGGACGTCGAGACATACATGGTCGCTGATGGGTCACTCATTTCTAAGTGCATCCGTTCTAGGGATAAACCTGAGCGGACAAACAATGAAGTTGGTACAAGCAAGACTGTTGGACCACCGCTTGGTAACACCAAGGCGGCAGGGGGTCAGGCTCCAGTAACCCAAGACGAACTCATGAAATTTATAACAAGTTTCAAGGGTGAAATCAAGGACCAGATCAACAAGAGGACGCTTGTCTCTAGCAAAGGGCAGTCGGCAAAGAAGACTCCTTAAGCTGAGAGGAGGAAATCAGTCAGAGACAGGAAACCTACTCCACATCCAAAGGAGAAGACTACGCTTTTCATTGACTGGTCCAAGATCCTTCTACCCCAGACGGGCAAAAGGAAGGTCATCCGAGCTGTTTAGTCGGATGGCAGCAAGAAAACCTTCACCAATGCTCGACACGTCATCAAGAAAAAAAAGCCTCTACATCGACTTTCCAAATAATTTCAAAAATACCTCTACAAGTAATTCCCAATCTTTGCGTGAAAGTCATACATGCATCAAGTCCGTCCATACTAGCCCTCAAATGATTGGATCTTCCCAGTATTTGCCTCATATGCCATACGAAATATGCCCTACCATAATGAATTCCTAATCCTTGCATGAGATCCATAAAGGCATCAAGTTCGTTCAACTTCTCATTGAAAATCCCTGCAAAGAAAACAAGTCTCGACTTGAGCACCATTAACCAGGGAGAGAGAGAAGGACTCCGCTCCTATTTCTAGCGGTTCAATCTGATAAGAATTCAGATTCAAGGGCTGTCTGACAAAGTAGCTTTTGTAGAGTTTTTCAAGGGTCTGAAGGACAGGTCAACGTTTAAGTTCGACCTCGTCAGAAAGAGGGTTTTCAGCCTTCAAGAGGCGCTGATAGAGGCGGAAAGCTATATACAAGAAACCGACCTCTGTTCGCCCAGCAACCAGTCGGACTCAAAGAAGTCTAACAATCAAAAAGAGAGTTGGTCAGCTCAACCAGCTCCCAAAGCGGAAGAGAGAAAAAGGAGAAAAGAAGTCTGAGCGGTCAATGAATCTGACCATCCATCTAGAAAAAGAAAAAAGAGTTTAAATCGCACGTTCCAAAGTACAAATTTAACAAAGACTAATACTCCATCCTCATGGAGATCAAGGATCAGCTTACTATTGAGAAGCCAAATCCAATGAAGAGTTCCGTCTAGTTGCGGAAAAAAAAATTGTCACTTCCATGAGGGAGTCAGTTATGACACCAACGGCTGCTATGGTCTCAAGTGGACGTTGAATCGTCTGGCTGACAAGGGAGTGCTGAAATCATATATTCTGAAGTCCAAAGTGAATGTCAGAACAAATCCTGGACAGTCGTCCAGGAATGATGACCAACCTGCTAGTAGCTCGGACATAGGCAAAGAGTCGGTCTGCACAATAGCAGGTGGATTTGCAAGCTGTGACTCGACCATCTAGGGCGTCAAGGATCATCTAAAGAAGAAGATCCATTTTGTTGATTATGGACAGGCATCTGCAAGTGGTACTTTCCCGGACATCCTCGTCACTAAGAAATATGGGGGCAAAGTCCACTGACCGCATAATGACTCGGTCGTAATTGAATGCAAGGTCGCGAACCAGCTGGTTGGTCGGATCCTTATAGACACTGGTAGCTCCTCTGACCTCATCAGCTACAAGTGTCTTTTCATACTGAAATACAAGCTGGACAACCTACGGGATGTCTCCCATCCTCTTGTCGGTTTTGGAGGAGGGGTCATGCACCTAGTCGGACAAATTGACTTACCAATCCGACTGGGGGGAAAATAAGAAAAGGGTAACACATGATCATTTGTCTTTTTGTGGTTGAAGAGCTAACTAGCCAACCCACTTTGAATGAGTGTAAGGTCGTCATCATCCCAGCTCTCATGTTGTTAAAATATGAAAAGGATGATGGCTATGTTGGCTCCCTAAACGGGGAACAAAGGATGGCTAGGGAGTGTTACCTCTCAAACAACAAACCAACAGCAGCTGCAGTCGGTCATCTGAAGAAGCCAATAGACTTTGAAAATGTCAAGGACTCTAACCCAGCCCAACCAATTGGAAAGAAAAGAAAGGTTGATCAGTTGCTGGAGTAAAGAAAGAGAAGAAATATCAATCACTGACCGAGGAACGGTCAGATGAGCTCTGTCCCTAATCGGTTGGTGATCACATTGATATTCCTTTGGACGACAGGCGTTTAGAGCAAACAAGTAAGGTGGGGACGACTGCCTTTGAAAGATTGGGTGCAGATTTGCATCTACTGCACCTACTGCTGAAAGAATTCAAAGACATTTTTGCCTTTTAAGTGGATCAAAAAAGGCAAAAGAACATAAATCACGGCGAGGAGAAAAGTCAGGCGGCAGTTGCCGAGGTTAAAAAGCTGTTAGACACTGGGTTCATTCAGCCATGTAACTTCCTAGATTGGGTAGCGAATGTTATGCTTGTGAAGAAACCGAATGGTACCTGGCACATGTGTATTGATTACAATGACTTGTACAAGGCATGTTCAAAGGACAGTTACCCGCTTCCAAAGATCGACAGCCTTGTTGACTCTACACCCGGTCTTGCCTTGATGAGCTTTATGGATACCTATTCAGGCTTTCATCAGATTCCCATGTGGAAAAAAGATCAAGAGAAGACGTCCTTCGCCACTAATCAGGGGTTATTTTATTTTACTATGATGTCGTTTGGCTTGAAGAATGCACCTGCTAATTTCCAACGGATGATTAATACAGATTGAGAGGAATGTAGAGGCATAAATTGATGACATGATAGTTAAATCCAAGCTACATACTGATCATCTTGCTGATCTCCGAGAAACCTTCACCACTCTCACGCGGCATAAGGTCATGTTAAATCCTAAAAAATATGTTTTTGGTGTTGAGTCTGGGAAGTTTCTCGGATTCCTTATTGATCAAACGAGAATAGAGGCTAACCCCTAAAAGATACAGGCGGTAATTTACCTGAAGTCATCCCGCACTATCAAGGAAGTTCAAAAGCTCACTAGTTGCCTGGCGGCGTTGGGAAGTTTTCTCAGCCGGTAAGGTGACAAGTGTCTATATTTCTTCCAAGAAAGCAGGAAGAAGAGTAGATTTGTTTGGGGGGATGATGCTGAGGCTGCCTTTAAAAAATTTAAAGAGAACTTACACTCTTTGCCAAGGCTTGTTAATCCTCTCCCCAAGGAGGCTCTTTACATGTAATTAATCGTCTCAGATCATGCCCTCAACGCTATTCTCCTTGCAGAGAGAGATGACATTCAGCTCTCGATCTATTTTATTAGCCATACCCAATGGTTGAAAAATTCAGTCTTGCTCTTTATATGGATGCAAAGAAGTTGAAACCATACTTCCTGGCATAACCGGTTGTCGTCTACAAAGAACAACCTCTCAAGCTGCCAATGACAACCTTGGAGTCATTCGGTAGAATGCTCAAGTGGGCTATTGAAATGCAAAGTCTCAAAATCACTTACGAACCAAGAAAAGTAGTGAAGAGTCAAGCGTTTGCCGACTTCATTGTCGAAATGACAAAGTCGGTTGCTCCGGATTATCCTTATCAGGTTTGGAAAGTGTATGTTGACGGGAGGTCTATTATGAACGACTGTGGTGCAGGTATAATCTTTCAGTCTCCTGGAAGGGACAAATATGAGTATGCACTACGGTTCAAGTTCCAGGCCTCAAATAATGATGCAGAATATGAAGCCTTGCTAGCCGGTCTTCACAAGTGCAAGGCGGTAGGGGCAACAAAAATTAACGCCTGCTTGGACTCCTAGTTGGTCTTTAGCCAATACCATGGTGACTATGAAGCCAGTAACCCAGCAATGATCAAATATCTTCAGGCAGTTAAAGCTAAGGCTAGAACACTTAAAGTCTTTAATCTAAGTCAAGTTCCTAGTTCTGAAAACAACCAGGCGGATGCACTGTAAAAATGGGCATCCTCCACCACTTGTGATACGCCTCGTTCTGTCTTCTGGGAAGTTATGGAAAAATGAATTATTACTGAAGAAGAGCTCGTTGGAGTTCTTGGCCGAAGCTTTACATAGATGGATGGCATCAGAGCATATCTGATCTTCAAGACGGCACGCTACCTGAATCACCATAGTAAGCTCTACAGAGATGGATGCCATTATAAAGAGTTAGGCAAAAATTCAAGTATATATATGCAAAATTCAAACGCAAAATCAAACATAAAAGACAAGAAAAACCGACTCAGTCGGTATTGTCATAAATTAATAACCTAACCAAAACGGCTTGGTGGAATAATGTTGATCAGACAACCATCCGGGAAAAAAAATAAAATATTATTGGATTAACCGACTCCTCAGTCGGTAAAATTACAGAAATTCGCGACATACAGGTCGAAGAAAACATAAATGGCATTTTTCCACTAAAAACTATTAGATGCTGGGGAGGAGGCACCTGCTCAGATTGGTTTGGCTTGAGATCAGCCTTAATTGGGTCAATCGGGGCTTGCTTCTTTGTCCCTTCTTCACTCTCCTCGTTAGAGTGAATCTCAACCGCTTATCCGGGTGCAGGCCAAGCAGGCTCCTCAACTTCAGTATTTCCCAAGGTGGCAAATGATTCAGGCTCTAGTAGGCCTTTCTTTCTCAGGTACACAAAGTCCTCATCATATTGCAAATCCAGCGCCCAAATACCATACTCTTTACCCGGATATAGCGCATCCCATGCAATCTTCATCCGATTGTCATAATCGGTCTCGTTCTCAGCAATAAGGCGGTCTTGCTTTGCCTCCAAGGTGGCCTTGAAGTTGTTCAGGGCCCGGGTTGCCTCTTTCTTCAGACGTTCAACATCTGCCTTAAGATTAGTGTTTTTCCTAAGCAACACCCTTAAGAGTCTTGAGGTCCGCCTAAGCCATTTTTAGGGAGGTGTCAACATCGCTGGCCCTCTTCTTGGCAGTCTCCAGAGCAGTAGACAAGTTCCTGATGGCCTCCGCCTGCTTCAGTTCCACGGATTTAGATTCAAGTTCATTTATTATACATTGATATTGTGCAACGTCGTGAGAATCCCTAGCTGATTTATTGGCTTGTTTTACGTCCTCTCTCTTCCGAGTGTATGGCCGCTTTAATCCATCATCCCTCAGCATAGCCTGTAGACACAAACGGTGTTAAAAATACAAGCAAAAGTTTACTTGCTATTTTGCAAAAAGAAATTATACCTCAGACAGGAAGACCATATATGTTACATGTTGAACATATCTATGCCTGGAATGTCGTCCTTTTCCCTTTTCCGGATGGGCTCGAGCATAGCCTTGGCATGTGCCTGCACATTTGGCCATCAGGGTGATTGATCTGCACCATATGTAATAGTGTGTGAGTGAGCTATATAGGCAGCAGCAACTTCTTTTCGGCTATCCAACAAAGAGGTCTGTTGAGAGTGAGATTTCGCTTGCAAAGTAAATCCAAGCTCATGTGGGGTTTCGAAAGGATTAGCCATACCTTCGGTAACCAATAGGTTAGCATCACCTACAGGCGTAGCACGACAAGCTGAAGTTAGAGCACCTTTGGCCAGGTCCAAGCCAAGGCGGAAGCCTCCTAGTGTGATGCTCTTACCCCCGATGCGCATGCGGCCTTTCCCATACGAAGCATCTTGAGCCGTCCGGGTGGACGAAGCTTTCTGAGATTAGCAGGGGTGGAGGCGTTGTCGTCTCATCCTCGTTTGAGTAGCTTGTTAAAGGATCTGGGAACCTCCCCACCCTGCAAATGAAGTTGTTTATCAATCATACAACTGGTGCATCATCTTTATAAAGTGAATTTAATGTAGTAGAGGGTTAGACAGGGTTTTACTTTGGCCCTTATTTGGGATGCTTTAGCCTCCTCAAGATCCTTGTGAATTTGGGTGGAGGACCTTTTGGGGGTCTTGTCTTATGAGAGCATTTCCAAAGCGTCTTCTACAAAAAACAAAGAAATATTCAGTTTAATAGAATAAGATGGACATGGATATAATACAGACAGAAAATTATCTAGATGTGCAATAAACCTACACTTTGTAAACATTGTGCTCAACCCGCAGGCGGATAAGAACGCCTCGTCTCTAAACCATGCACTCATGGGTAACCAACTTTTTGGAACCTTTATTACTTCCTCGGTTGAAAGAGTGTCTTTTGTGAGTTTAAAAAATTTCAATTCTATGATCTTCTCATATTTCTCCTCCGGAATTCAGGGGAAGGCACACTTCTGACCTAGAAGGTCAGGTTTCTTATTATACCGACGTGACACCCAATTTTCACACCGAGTGGGGGCACACAATAGATATAACTAATGTTTCCATTTATCATATTTGGACACTTTGTCCAAAGTCATCTGATACTTAGGGTAAGTGGTCAAAGTGTAGTACACCTTCTAGCCGCCTGGGTTGTGGCTAAGATAAATCATGTAGGAGAACGCCTCCCAGTCGCGATGCAAACTTGCATCTCGCAGGCAGCGACGTACCCAGAAATATTAAACCAAGAGTTTGGGGACAATTGCCAGATGCCTAGGTCATAATCCCGCAAGATGGCTTTTATAGCATCGTAGAGGAGGAACCATAGGCTAGTCAGAAACACCGCCTCATAGCAGCCGAAATAGGCATTGGCGTTCTCTTGGTCGACCTTCTAAGAAATGGTGCCCAACTCAGGCAACACCTTGATCTTGTATCCTTTGAGTTTAAAATCCTTAAGCCCCTTCTCCATACTTTCCCTCTCCTTAGAAGAGACGTGGATTTTGAAGAAATCTGCCTTCTCGCTCCATTTTTTCCTCTACTTAACCTCGCTATCCTCAAGCGGGGATAAGGGATCATCTCTTCTTTTTGAGCTGGAGGCGGTGTCACCCCTGTCTTTCTCAGAGGAAGCCTCATCATCCGGAAAGCCAGACATATAGGAGGCTTCTTCACTGTTTCCCTGTTCCGATTCCTCCAAGATAGAATCACCTAGAGTTGGCGGAGAACCCGCATGAGATCTGTTTTCCTCTATAGCCGGGTTTGTCCCCTCAGCAGAATCCTCCTAAGGCGGGAGCCTGTCTATGCTTTCCTCTCGATAGTCTGGATCTCGGACCGTCCACATAATCTGAGCCATTGTGTCCTGCACAGACACAGAGACGGTCGGATTCGGAGAAGCACAAGGGTGGTCCCAACACCTAGAGGTGGCACTCTTAGTCCAAGACTTAGCTGCACCTTGAGACCGGCTGGATCCAAAGGTAGGTTGTTTCGTGTGTGTTGGTGATGCAACCATTTATTGCAAGAAATATATACAAGCAGAAAAAATAAGAAATAAGTGAGAGGGGCAGAGACGGTACCTTAAGATTTAAAATCTAAAGGTGTTAGGTGTTGACCGGTTGTATTTGACAGGCGCGAACTCAGTTGTTTGTATTTTATGCAAACGGTGTGCATAGTCTCTCTCTCTCTCTCTAGAGCTTGCTTACTTTATCTTTCTAAAACTTTTTACAAACGTGCAAAAAGGAGGGGTGTAAATTGCATATTTATAGAGGGGTAAATACAAGGGTATCCTTGTGATTTCCCTAGAAGGTGAATAGTAAAAAATTCACAGTCAAAATTCAACCAATGGCAGCGTGACACGTTTCACAGATGCCACATGGCATGCAACGTCACATCTGTGAGGGGTAAATGTTTAGGGTAATTTACCCATACCACGTGGGCCAACCAGGATGCAATACGTGTCAACCTAGTATTATCCCTTTAAGGACCAATCCCTACTTGAAACGTGGTGCTCTAAAAGAGTGGGAAAAAAGGCGGCCATCAAGGACCAAATCCCGAGAAAAGTCGCAATGCGGTGCAGCCCATCAGAATTAGGTAAGAGTGACCTAAGAACGGGCACGCTTTTCAATGACCCTATAGGTAGGGAGATTCCACCCATTTTGGGGACATCTAGAATTCATTTATTACAGCCTACCCTATATTATCTCGCATTAGAGAAAAACACCTGATCTCGGAATCCTAGAATAACTTACTTAGACCTTTCTGCACTTTTTACTTTCTCCAACGCGTTCTAACTTGATCGTCGGAGGTGAAGCTCCAACCAACCGAAGTCTCCATGTTTTGCAAGTACAGACCGCCTCAGACAAGTCTTGGTGACGTAACTCTCCCGAGGGACAAAAACACCCAAAACAGCAGCTAACTACACAAAGAATTGTTTACCTATGCTACTTTGATCTTTATAACATTTAACATTATAATTAACATTTCTATGACAAATTTTTATTATTTTTAATCATGAATTATTTTTAAATCAATCTTTGATGGAATAAACTCTACCATTCTCATTAATATATGTTATTTGAAATTATGCAATAGAAATTATGCCATAAATTACAAGAAAAATGAAATGAAAAATAATGACAATTTATCATATATAAATTATTTCAAAATATATGACTAAACAAAATAGGAAAGCTGTAAAATAAATTATTCCTAATCTATTTTTCTTATAAGCATAATTGTAATGAACTAATATCATTAAAATTTTAAAAATAGTTAAATCTTTTATCTTTATATTTGTTTTTCAATAAATAGTATTTTTCTTTTTAAAAATTACTCATTTTTGTGGTTGAAGAGTCAAAGAATAAACACCCATTAATTAGGGTAATTTAAAAACAGGTAAATAATATTCTACAAACTTCACTTATAAATGTTAGCTTACATGCATACAAAGAATCACACACACATCGCGTGCATAAAAGGATAAAATACTTGAATGAAACCCTTTATACAAGGGAATTGATAGATTGTGAAAGTGTAAAGTTACTCACTAAGAAGGTTCCAGTTTCTGGTAAAATGCCACATGCTGCAGAGGCGTAATTCCTGCCTTTTGATGAGTTTTCTTTGACTAAATTAGTATCTGATGACCCATTCCAATTTGTTCTGGTCGTGCTTGCATATGGTCTAGGATATGGTAACTCCAAATACTCCGCTACACATTGCAGAAAAGTTTGATTTTGTATTTGTAATTGGCATTAGCGATCGGTAATACTTTTTGACATTTTTATTGTATTAAGTTAATAATAGGATTTATTAGATTTTACAACCCATAAATTACCCACTTTTCAAACTAACCAATTCCGTTATTATTATTATTTTGAATTTACCACCTAAAAAGAGTAATAAAAAATTGCGTTTTACCACCAATTAACACAGTTCGTCAAGAAAACTGTTAAACCTAACTTTATAAAAATAAAATTCAATTTTTGTCCCAAAACATGCATATTCTTTAGAGGTTTTGGGTGTTATTTTGGCCTTGGAGGATCTAATTTAAGGACCTAAATGCCAAAATATTAATAATAAATACCTCGTTTTGCAAATTTTAAAAATACCTTTGTTGGTAGGATGTGTGTAAAACGCGACATTTCCATAATATTTTTTTTTTTGTCATTTTTGACCTTACATCGGACCCTTTAAAACATAAATGACCCCTAAAACCTTGATAGAACAAGTTCAAAAGAAAATCGATGATATTTTTAAAAATATATACAACTTAGAGGTTTCCTTGGAAAAAGTATTAAGAGGTTGTGAGATCAATTTTATTTTTTTATTTTTTTTGTAAAAAGAAAGAAAGAAAGATGGTTTGTTAAAAAACAAGTGGTCAATTTTGGGTGGTAAAATTCATTAAAATTTATAGATATCCTAAATTCTTATTTACCTTTACTTTTTAAATAAAAGAGTTTGAAATTTTTAAATTAGTCTAAATTGTTTGTCAAGCTATGACTATTTTTGTTGGAGGTATTTCAAAGGGATAACCACTATTTATGTTCTCATACATAATGTTGAGTAACAGAGTAAGTACACGTATACATGTGAAAATGCATATCATAAAGACATGTACCATTAGGCGATTAAATAATACCATTGAATATTAAGTGGTACGATATATGCATGTAGTGGTATTGTATTTGTATGAACTATGCAATGGTACTTTATTTGTATGCAATAGTTCTAAATGTATGCACTATGCAATGGTCCTAAATTTGTATTGAATACCCAATTGTATTATATAATCTTGCAGCAGTACAATAAGGTTGAAGTTCCCATCACATGATAACAATCGGATTAACAAATAGGTGGGATCCAGTGGTCCACCCACTTAGCTCTCTCTTACTTTCTTTGTCATCCTTTCTCTCTTTTGCCCGTGCTTTTACAATATTTTATGTTTGTTATGTATTTACAAATACATAACTTAATTCCATTTATTATACTTCCTTGTTTTCTTGCATTGTACGATCTTATGAATGTTATATTTCGAGTCATTTGTAAAAACAACGTAAATAAGTAACGTTTCGACCTATTAGTTAAGACGAGAGTGTATATATATATATATATATGTATATATATATATATATATATATATATATATATATATATATATATATATAGTTGGTAATTATTTCCTACTATTATATATAACTTAGGTTGTGTTAATTTGAAATAATCCATATGTCGTTTTATATTTGAAAGACCGCTGAAAGGTTGTATTATTTTTGGCAAATTTTTTAATTAATAACATTTTAGAAAATATTTTATAATGTAATCTAACACACTTGAGGTGCTCATTTACAAGATCATAATAATTATAACAAAATTAAAAATAGTTTCAATTAAATTGTCCTAAAAGACCTTGTTTTTCTCTCACAAAATAATTAGGTTTAACATTGCAGAAGATTTGTCAATTTTCATTTTACCTTATACCAAAATAAACCCTTTTATTTCACTTATCTCTCCAATCTATGTGATTTTCACTTTACTACTAATTATCTTTTCTAACATTGTTTCTTCAAATTTGATATATATAATTAACGTATTACCTTCCTTATTTTAATAAAAAAATACAAATTTTTTTCCACTATATACCATAAAAACGTATACTATTTAAGTCTATATTCTAAAAGTGTGTGGTTAAGCCTAATAAACGTGCTTAAACCTAAGAGTATGTATTTTAAACTCTAACATATTTGTTGACCTTTAAGGAATTTTAATTATATATGATGAGAAAAGAAAACTTCAACTAATGAAGTTTTTCTAGTGTTGGAATAGTTTGCACGTGACGTAGACTTAGAGAGTGGAAGAGTAATCTGAGCTCGAAGAATACAATAGAAGTAAAAGAAAGCATGAAAAAAATAGAAGAAGAGTTCCATAAGGAATTAGACTAGTGATCCTTAAAAGGAACATAGTGAGAAGCTTTCTAATAGGAGTAAGACAAAAGCTAAACTGACCAGCTTGGTCTGCGTTGAAGACATGAAGTTCTAGAGGAACTTAGGCTGCGACTTCTAGCAAGACGCTGAAGAAGAGAAGACAGTATAGTAGGATTCTAATCCTACCTGGTCTGCAAAGAACTTAAGCTCCTATAAGAAACACAGAGTTCAATGGATGCAATATGATGATAGGCTGAAGACTTTTATTAAGATATATGATAAGTTTATTTTGCTATAGGATTGCTGTAAATATGTGGTAGATTAATATGCATAAAACTTATTAGAAACATGATAAAGCCGAAAGGTAATAAAATCAGAAGTATTATACTTCCTTCATTCTATTAATATTGCAATACTGGACTTTTTTGTACAATTCATCACTCTTGTTTGACCATATAATAAGATTTATATATTATGCAAAATATAGTCATGTAGGTTCTTGTAGAATTTGTCTCATTAAATAATTTAACAATATCAACTTTTTATAATTTTTAGAGTGTTTGACAATTACCGCCTACTATTGTTGTTGTCTTAGTAATGACCACATATATTTTTTATTTTTGTATTTTATCACCTACTATTTTTAAAAACATGAAAATTTCCCACCTGATTACCTACATAATGTCATTGTGAGCCCTACCGACATATATTTTTTTTTTTTCAATTTCACTCCTTTTTCTAACCTTTTTCTTTGATTTTTTGAATTGCAAATCTAAATTATGCAAACAAACCACTAAATTAGGTACCTAATTTTAAAAAAATGGGGCTAACTATAAGATAGTATTCATCATTTAGGGTTTTGAAATGAAATTAGGAGTTTGTTATTTAGTGATTCATATAAAAAATTGGGATTATTTTGCATCGATCTAATGTATTATGTGTTCAGTGAATACCGAAACTGATTTTTATCGTTAAGAAATTATTACTAATTGTTGATATTAAAAAATTAGGGTTTATATGTATTTTAGGGATATTTCAAAATCAAATGTTTTTCTAAATTATGATTTACAATAAAAAAAAATTCACGATATATATTAATTTTATGTAGAGTTAATCGATACAAATAATGCTAAATTTGAAAAATTCCAAAAATTTGGGATAAACCCTAAATGAAGAACAACAAATTATAATTGACACATATACCTATATTAGTGACTTAATTATGTTCATGTGAACTTGAATTATGTTAAATCGACTTTAAATGCTTTTCCCTAATCTTATTTTAATTTATATTGAAAAAAAAATCACTGAACATGAGAATCGAGGAAGAAGAAGGCATGATGACGGCCTGGGAAATCTGGTGGGAAGTTTATATTTATAAAAATAGTAGGTGGTACAATACACAAAAAAAAAAGTAAAAAAATTAAAAAAAAATAAAATAAATTGTAGGTTATATATAGACTCTCAGTACTAGGTTAGAACCCGTGCGATGCACGGTTTATATAAAGTCTATTTTTAATTTGTATATTTTAAAAATAAATTGCTATTATTTATGAATATAAATAAAAATGAATTCTGTATATTTCGTAATTTTAATTTTTTTTTAATTTTAATCAAAATTATGATAATGAAATCTGTTCAACGTTGTCTAATTTATAGTTCAATATAGGAGGTCGTTTATTAGTGTACTATTTAAAATTGTTTCAATTTCCTACGATAAATTGATAGGTTTTAGTTGTAATGTAGAAGCTTCCAATATTTAAATGTTAAATATGACAGCTTTACACAAAAAAAAAAAAAAAAAAAAAAAAAAAAAAAAAAACAGTACATGACATCATCGTTGCATTTAGGCAGGAAATTTTTTATTGAGAAAGCGACACGTGGGCAATGGTTGTGTAAGCAAGTTCTGTTTTAGTAATAGTTAATAGATTCTCCTAATTTAATCCCTAAATTATCCTCAATTTTTACTAATTTTTTGTGCCAAATATTTTGACATTTATTAATCAACCAACATATGTTCTCTCTCCTCATTGTTCTTCCTCTTCTTCTTTTTAGGTACTTCTTCTTCTTTTTGGCATTTATTAACCTCTTTTTTCTTTTTCTCTCACTTGTTATTTAATGCACTTAATGTACTTTGATACTTCCAATCACAAGGTTGTAGGAATCTACAAAAAATACCTTAATTCCCGTGAAAATGAGAAATGGCACTCTAATAAAAGAGCGAAGGGAGTTTTTTTTTTCTTCTCAAATTCTTAAAACTAATGGCATTGTCAATATATGAATAATACAGTTTTAAATACGAGTAGTTGTTGTAAACATTTCACTCCTATATATGTATATATTTTCCTATCAAATGTTTAATTTAACTTGCACTCTTCTCGTTTAGAATGAGTTTTTCTTAAATTTTTCTTATGTATGAAAAAAAGGAAAATGTGATCATAATAGACATTGTACATAAAATGAAAGGAATATTATTCAAGTTAAATTTAAGTTCAAGTTTCTAAGGGTCTGTTCACATTTACTGAATTGAACTGAACTAATTACAGCTAGACTGAACTGAATTGAACTAAACTGATTGGAGTTGAACTGAACTGAACTGAACTGAATAGAACTGAAATGAATATTTAATGAGAGAAGAAAGGAGTTGAATTGAACTGAACTGTATTGAACTGAACTTAACTAATTGGAGCTGAACTGAACTGATTACAGCTAAATTGAACTAAAATTTAGCTGAAGCGAACAAGCCCTAAATTTTTTCTTAAAGCGACATTTCAGCTTAATATAAGAT